AGTTTCTGGCGGTCTATAGAATCGTAAGCCTTTTTAAAATCTATATACAGCTGGTGAACAATACCATTGTACTCCAATTTTTTGTCTAATATTTGCCGTAAAGAAAATATTTGATCAATGGTCGAACGATTCTGTCTAAATCCGCATTGGTAGTCTCCGATAATTTCCTCTGCGTATTCCGTTATTCGACTGGTTAAGATTAAAGTGAATATTTTATAACATACCGGAAGGAGTGAAATTCCTCGATAGTTATTACAATCCGTCCTCAGGCTCTTTTTGTGAATCGGAATAAGAATAGATTCTTTCCATTCTTCAGGTAATTTCTCATACACCCAGATCTTTTTAACCAACCGATGTATTTTAGAAACTCCAGCTTCCCCGCATGCCTTAATTAGTTCAGTAGGAATATTATCGGTTCCCGCTGCTTTATAAGATTTTAATTTTCCGATAGCTACTTCAACTTCCTCTTTACTCGGTTCTTCTATCAACGGTTCAGCACTCTGGTACTCAGAAGGAGAACACAGATCATAATTTCCCGTATTTAAAATATTGTCAAAGTGGTCCTTAAACTTATTTAATATGTCAACCGGATCGGCCAGAATATTGTTATTATCATCCCTAATTCCAGACGTTACGGGCCCTACACATTTACGTGATCTGTTTATACCTTTGTACATGTCTCTTACGTTATTTTCGATTCTATTAGTTTCTATTTCAATTATTTTATTTTTAAGATACTCCCTTTTTTTATTTTTGAGCAATTTTGTCATTTCGTTCTTTGAGGTTCGGAAGTATTCCAGATTGTTTTCGCTAGGATTATTTAGAGCTTTTAATTTAACGGCTTTTCTTTTTTTGTATATGTTTAAGCAATCTTCATCAAACCACGGCTTGTTATTCTTATTTTCCTTTTTTCCTAGACACGAGTTACGGACCACTTTAATATTATTCCTGATCTCTACCCATAACCTGTCAATATCCTCGTGGTCCTCGTCAGGAAGCTCTAAAGCTTCAAAGCTATTCTTAACATCTAGCTCGAATTGGGTTCTAATTGATGGATTTTTTAAATTTTCCAAATTAAAATTCTCAAAATCGAAACGGTTTTCTTTTCTCTTTTTTATATTAAGTTTTTGTCGAAGTTTCGTGATTACTAATTCATGATCCGACCCACATTCTGCTCCGCGATAAGACCGTACATTAATTATACTGCTTTGCCAGCTATGTTGTATCAAGACATGATCGATTTGATTTCTTGTTTGCGAATCCGGTGATGTCCAAGTATATTTATGAATATCCTTATGTTTGAACGTTGTACTTTTAATTATCAGGTTTTTCGAGATGGCAAAGTTTATCAGACGGATCCCATTATCACTACTGTATTCGTGCAAACTTTCTTTACCAATTGTCAGAATATAAACTTCTTCCCTTCCTACCTTTGCGTTCGCGTCACCTACAATTAGTTTTCATGCAGTTTCGCGGTAGTTTATCATAAAGCCATTCGAGCTTATCATAAAATTCACTTTTGACTTCATCTTCACTGTCTTTGGTCGGACAATGTATGTTTATTAATGCGATTTTAAACCAACGTCCCTGAAATATAGCTACCGAAATTCTATCACTAAAGAATTCTACGTCCCTCAAAGCGGATAGTAATCTATTCCTAATTAGAAACCCGGTACCTAAACAATAATTCCCGCTTCCTCTGTACCAAATAGTGTACTTTCCTTCCCTCATCGAGCCCTCCCCTGTCCAGCGAAGCTCTTGTAGAGCCACGACATCCAAATTGTACCCATTTACCTCATTCGTGACCGATTTTAGCCCCCCTTCCTTGTTTAAACTCCTTACGTTCCATGTACCAATATTTAAATCCCTATATTTCAACTTGCGCCATGAATCCCCTAAAGTAGTCCCCTCCCGGAGACCCGAACGGGGGTCTAGTTTACCTCCGGATAATGAGCGTTTTACCTTAAGGAGATCCATGACTATTTGTGGTGTTTGATGAACTAAATATATGTGAGTAGGGCGTTCAATCCTACATCATACCCTCCAGCAAGTCTGGTGGGCCCCTACCTCCAGCAAGTCTGGAGGTCCCCTCCCTCCAGCAAGTCTGGCGGGCCCCTACCTCCAGCAAGTCTGGAGGTCCCCTCCCTCCAGCAAGTCTGGAGGTCCCCTCCCTCCAACAAGTCTGGAGGGCCCCTCTCATTGTTGGTCAGCGAGTCCATCGGACTTAGCCAGGAGGAACTTCCAAGGAATTTCCACCGACCATCCCCACATCCGCCACCCGTGGGACGCTCCCTATACGCGGTAATGAGCCCGTGCGAGGTAAATAAAATAAATACTTAGAAAAATAGAAAATCGGACTATTATTTATATGAAGTTTTTGATAGATTTACTATTATCTGTTTAAATATTTCCCTCTTTTTATGGGAAACCCTGTATATTATTATCTTTGAATTTAAATGATAATTTAAATAAAAGTAATATATAGGTATCAATGTACCTACTTTAGGCCCTTGGGCCTTGCTATCGACTTTTCCTAATCAATTTCAGTTTACACATTTTATTCATTCATTTAGCTTATTTATTATTAATTTTAATTTTTTTCCCTCAAAGAATTGGGGAGGGGGAGGGGAGAGTGCAAAACGATATTCTCGCCCCCTCAACATTTTATTGGGAAGGTGGGCGATCTTCTCCTCCCCCCCAGTAATCTGCGCCTATGGTAGGGGGTAATCCAATAAAAAAAGTACAAACCTAAATAAATTCCTGAGTGAGTCACAGGAAGGAGCAGAAGAAGTAGAAGCTCCAGAAAAGGAAGAGATAGTTGATATAATTAAATCAATGAAGAATCATAAGTCACCAGATCACTCCAGAGATACTAAAATATGGTGGCATTGATCTGTGGGAGTAAATTGATGACCTAATTTGGGAGATATGGATGGAACAAAAAAATGTCTGAAGATTAGATCATTTACAACTGTCTATCTGAACATCTGGCATTTGCCAAGGTTTTTTCATTACCTCTAGAACCTAAGCAGTATTGTCAGGAACATTCCAGCAATTCAAAGAGGCAGCAGCTAAATTGGGCCGTAGAGTTAATGAAATTGAGATGAAGTATATGAAGAGTTCAAGAAGAGGAAAGGAAGTGAATAGGAAAATAACTTTCAGAGATCACAACTTCAGCTCTGTAAATTAGTTCGAGTACCCGGGAAGCCTGTATACATATGATAACAAATTAGTAAGTGAAATAAAGGCGAGGATAGGAGCAGGAAATAGATACTATTTCATACTGCAAATATATTTCAAATTTAGGTCCCTCTCTAAAAGAATCAAAATTCTTATTACAAAACCATAGTAAGTTCAATGGTTATATATGGGTGTGAGACATGGAGCTTAACCAAAATATCAGAAAGCATGCTCAAGTACTGGGAGAGAAAAGTGTTGAGAAGAATCATAGAAGCAGTGTTGCTGAGAATGGAATTTGGAGAAGAAAAATGAATGAAGGCTGTGTGAACTACTTGGGAAATCCGATATTGTGGCTTTAATAAAAAGAGCACAAATAAGATGGATGGGACATGTGGAAAGAATACCAAAGAGGATGCTCTATAAGAAGCCAGGTGGGAAAAGATGTAGAGGACACTTCCTCTTTTAATTTTTCAATATTGTGAATGGTAGTGCTTATTACGTTCCTTTTTTCTCTTAAAACCAGCTTTTTTTATACAAAATCTTATCCCAATAATGGTTTGAGTCACAGTAAGCTTGTTTCCTCATGTTTGCTGTTCTTGCCGATTAGTGAAAAGAATACATTTTCTTTTCCTATCCTACTATTAAAATCTCCCATAATTATTTTAACATCATGCTTATTAAGGAATTATTTATCTTTTCTAACATTCCATAGAATGTATCCTTATCCTCTTCATTGTCTTTACCTCCTATTGGTGCATGGATTTTATTAAGGGAGATGTTGAAAAACTTTCCTCTCAACCTTAATACACATTCTTTCGTTTTTAGTTATGTATTTGACAACAGAGTGCAGAAGGGAGTTTCTTATAGCAAAACGTGTAACCAATATGTTATGCCTATTGCCACTATTAATGATTGTACAGTGCTTTATCTTGTTGAAGAGACTTGCTTTCAAGAAACTGCATAAAGCCTTGGAAAGAAATGGATTACATGGGTAATGACATAGGCTTGGGCACGGACAAATAAATTTAGCAGCCTGGAATGTCAGGAGCTGGTTCCAACCTGGAGCTGGGAGGGATCTGGAAAGAAAAATATAAAATAGATATATTAGCACTACAAGCACCATAGCTTATTCAAGAAAAAAATTTGTTCTTTATGTATTTATGTTTTTAATGTATTCCTAATGAGTTATGATTAACAGAATGCTCTAATGGTAGGAATATGAGGCTTAGGTAAGTAATAAATCTAGTCTATCACATATTTTTGTGATCTGAAACTTAAATTTGTTATAGGACAGCTAATAAAATTGTCTGCTTCCTTCAATTCTATTAAATTTACCAATAAACACATAATAAAGTTTTAATATGATTTGTCGAGTTTGTCTTTTCACTGAATGATTTAAATTTGTATGAAACCAACAATATTAAGATTTAATGATCTACAATTATTAATAATAAATATGCTGCCAAACGTATTATTTTCTTCCAAATTTGCTTTTATTTTCTTAACATTGATTCAACAATGAATTTATTTATTTTAATGAGCTATTTTTTTTTTTTTACATTTTCACTCATCAGTTAAACTGAAAAGTAAGCTGAAAAGAGAAAATAATTCATTACGAAAATAAAATTGTAATCTTTCAAAGAAAGTTTTCAGTTAAATTAGTTTGCAATCAATGATTTTTTTGTATAATTATATAGGAGAAATTGCTATCCTTCTCATTAATTAAATATTTTATAATTTTAAGCATTATAAATGAATAAAATGTTTCATTTGTATCTTATAATTCATTAATCTATTTATTTTCCTTAGTTTGATAATAGATGGGCTACTTGTATGTATCATTGGACTCATTACATATTCAAGCTTTGTTTACTTACCGACATACCTTGTTTCTTTATGGAAATCATACACTGATCTGCTGAGCGACTTCAAGGCCATTTATTATTAATAATTATATTGTATTTTTTGCTACAAATTCATCTTATAATGCCTTTTCAATGGTGGATTACAGATTTTTTAATAACATTTGGTTATTATCTCTAGTTGTAATCATATATATTTTTAATCAATGACTGATTTATAATAATTAATTAAAATGCGTTATAAAAATGTCTTTCTATATATAATATATTAGTTCAATAATTATATGAAAGAAAAACAATTTCATATGTGATAGAAAGTGAATCCAATATTGTAATATTTAGATTAGGAGATAATGTATACTTGAGGAGAACCTTTTGTGCCTTTATATATATATATATATATATATATATGTATGTATGTGTGCGTGCGTGTGTGTGTGTGTATGTGTAAGTTTAGTATTAAATAATTTATTTTTTTCAATGTTTATATTGCTTTAAATAAATTATTCTAACACAGCTATTATGTATGTAAGTTCATAGAAGAAATACATCTATTATTTAATTTTTATTTTTACAAAAATGGTGAATACCTATTCATTATTTTTAACAAATTCAGTTTTGTAGGACTAAGAGAATATTTCAATTATTTTGTTTATTATTTGGTATGTATTCAACTAATATTAATTAATTAATGTTTCAAACATTTTCAGTCATACTAAACTTAACTTATAAACATCATTATAAATATTCTTAATTTTGGTTAAATCTGGGGCCTTTAGTTTAAATTATTACTAACTAATCAATTAATGAGAGTCAAACATTTCTAAGACTAATGACAACATTTTCAATTCAATGTATAGTTAAGCAACTTAAGGGATAACCTCTTATTGTGCATGTGCCTAACAATAAGATTTTGCTTATGCAATGATCAGTTAGAAATGATTATCTACAATTCAAAGATTGTAATACAGATCATCATCATTATCATCATCACAAGTTGTACAACCCAATCTTGGCTGCATCAAGACATGCCTTCACTTCTCTGTTCTGGACCAGATCCACAAAGCCTTTGATCCTTCACCTACATCCTTCATGACTTTATCTGCCCATGTTAGTCAACAACATCTATTCTAATCTATATACCCTTGGAAATTTTTTTTTAAGAGTCTCATTCTTCATCTTAACCACATTGGAAACCCTAGAAATTTTATGTGCTGCACCAACCATATATGGTTTCTAGTAAAACTCTGGATTGTGTTTTATTTTAAACTGATCACCAACTCTTCTAGCTCCAAACCTTTTTCTTAATTCTTTTTTTTTTGTAGAAGAGCAGTAAACTGTTAGCATCTAACATAGATAGAAGCCTGATTTCTGAGGCTTGTGTTAAACACCCCTGATAAGCATGGTGTAAGGTGTGACCTTGAACTTTCTTAATAATATGGGACTTTTTTTTTGTTTTTGCCATTTCAAAATAACTTTTATTAAGGTAATACACATGATAAAATTTTTTTTTTAATGAATTAGTGCACTCATATGTAAAGTGGACAGACAAACGAAGTCAAACAATTAAAAGAAAGTATGGTGTCTTTTTGGTTTTGAAGGATTGAAAAAGATATATATTTTGGAATATATCAAGAACATGTTAATATATCAAGTCATATTAACTCGATATACCTAGGAGCACTTGTGTCTCTGAAGATGAATCTAATGAAAATTCATTAGTCTCGTCTTACGCCAAAACCAGACAATACATCTTATGGAAGGCAGACATAATCAGTGTAGGGAAAAATGAGACAGGAAATTATGAGTCAACGGGGTTTTAATGGACGTAGAATCTTAAGGACTGTTTAAGGATAACAATAAATTTTTGAAAAATATGATTATTCCAGGACAGGTATTGAGTAAAAATTATTCCAAGGATTCTAGTGCCTTGGTCTTCTCAACATTGAGACCTCAAATTATTGTTTACTGGGCATGTGTTGATACTATCCATATATTCTTGTAGCCTTCGTGTTTCCTCAAGCATCTTGGTAGGATGAAAGGATTGGTAAATTTGGAAGTCATCAACATATAAGTGTTATTATGAATGGAATCAGAAAGATTTTTAATATAGATAGGGAAGAGGAATGGTGGAAGCAAAAATCTCAGAGGAACAATAAGAGTTAGTAAGAGTGGAAAGAAGAAGGATATTTGAAATAATAACTATTAGAATACCAAAATATAAGAAGGATAAGAACACCTTTAAAGTACTATTTGATATGGAAAAGTTTTAGGGTTTTTAATTAGAGTATATTGTGATATGGATGTAAGTCAAGACCATTTAAAAAATTGAACAAGCATAGTGATTTTTTGTTTCTTTATGGAGGACTGTTTATCTTGGGTAATCATCAAAATAGCTAGTTGTGTTGAATAATAGGATCGGAAACCAGACTAAAGATGATTAAAGAGAATGTTTCGCTCAAGAAAGGAATTAAGCTGTGAGTGGACCAATCTTCCAATGGTTCGTGATAGATTGGAGGCAGGTCTAAAGTCAGAAACTTTGGAAGGAACAGGGAATTTATTCATCCAATGAATTAACACTTTTTTCAAAGCTGTAAGGAAAATGTAATTTTGTTAGAAAAAATTATAAATAATCAAAAGGTCAAGAAGACATAGTTTAATTGACCAAAGTAATTTTATCTGAACCATAGTTATTTGGATTTGGAGACAGAGGAGAGTTGGTCTTCTTAGGAAATGTTTGTAAAATAGAAATTTGCACGGTCACTTAAGTTATTGGAGAGCAGTAAGAAGGGAAGTGCAGTGTTGGAATAAGATTGGTGAAGTAAGAAATCAGTTAAAATAAGATGAGACTTCATTTTTTTTATAGACTTCCTCATTTTATTTTTGTATTTTGCCATCTTGATCCTCATCATTTGTTTCAAATCTAATTGTAAGATCAACTATCAGAGCCTCTTTTTCTTTTGCACTAAATGCTAAGATATCTACGAATCTCGCTGAGTCAAGGAAATATACTTCGAGGAAGCATATATAATTTTTCGTCTCCTAGAATTCGGCAATTCGATGCTTTATATTATTATGCCGGAGGGTGACAAAAACCATGTTATTCGGACATTTGCCCAATACAAGCGCAGGGGTTTCTGAATCGGCTATATTTGGGACAGAGGGGTCGAATATCTCCATTCTCCTGCCCTTCAGTCCCTGGAACTTCGCGAAGAGGAGCATAATTAACGTTTAACTTAAAAGCATTCGGCCACTCTGGGCCTGTTAGAATCTTCGTGTCGTACATAAACTTGTTAGCCGATTGGTTTAACTTAAAATGGAACACCTCTATTCCCTCCCACTTACATTTGCCCCAATTCTCAAACAACTTCAGTGACTGCTTTCTTTGCTGATAGTGACGATTCTATCGTGTTTGCTTCCAAGCCTAACAGATCAGCGCACTTTTGAACTTTCCTCCCAAAGTCAAAAAATGAAAATGCATCACAGCAGTGTAGCCCAGAAGGGGGTTTCATCGTTCAAGTTTCCGCACCAAAATGTTTGAAGTGAGCACTTATGACGAGATTTTAATTTTTTTAGACGGGAAGGAGGGGGGGCATTTCGACAGGGTTATGGTTTTTTTTTTCGTGCACAATTTCAATCCAGAAAATATGTAAAAGGGAAAAATATGGACCTGTCCACTAATAGTGTATTTGTATATGATACTATTTTTCCAATTCTACTTAGGCTTGGGACTGCTTTTAAGAAGAGTCACCGCCTTTAAACTTCATCCTATTATGATGTCCACAGATTCTAATAGCGCTGAGAGCAATATTGCCAATGGCGCTGTCTGTAGTGGATATATTAATTAAAGAAGAAAATACATATCCATTTACTATGTTGAGTTTCTGATCCGCCTTAAAAGTTTTCCATACTTACAGATTTATCGAATGCCAATTCACCGGAGAAACGAAACAGTGATTTGAGAGCGCAAATCACCTATTTATTTTCAAGGTGTTCTGGTAGTTCATATTTCCTGTTTTTAATGAGCGACATAGTTAACTTACATATTCCAACAGCTGAGGCACGAATACAAATAATAGTTTCCATGATTTTCAATAATGTATAAATAAAAAGCCTGTTTCTACTAAACTAATTTTGCAACTTGGTATATATCATTAAAAATATTTTTGGAGTTTTTGTTGAGATCTGAAAATATTTTTTTGTTGACATGAGTTTGGAAATAAGTTATTCCGTAATAAATTCTAAAATTTCATATTTTCATGGATAAGCTATTACTCAACGGATACTGGAATTTCGTTTGTACTAGATACCTTATTCGTTTATCACTTCTTAACAAATTTTAGAACTATACGAATCCTCTAGTTTCACACCTTTTGCTTGATCTTCGATTTCTGATAACACATCTGAAATAGAGGTAGTGTTGGGGCCACCCGTGGCTCCATAACTGATCCCTTTGGGGCAATCTGTCATTTCATGGATCTGTTTGCTGTTTGTGGTCGTATTGAAGTTTTTGATCTGCTAGCTGTGAGTTTATTTTAGTGCTAGTTTATTTTGGAGCCATTTTTTTGCGAGAATTGGAATATGCCTGGATGCATTTCTTGTCATCGGTATCATGAATCTGATTACGATGATTGATTAATTTTTTTATTTTAATTTACTTTAATAATTTTGATGTTACAATTGTAGCATTTTTCTAATTGTTTTTCTATTAAACTTATGTTATTGTTTTTTATCGTCGGATAAACCATATTAAAAGTACATAACATATTTTCATATTTATTTATTCTTTTATTGAATGTGTCCTGCCTTTTATTGAATATATAAAACATTACAAAATGAACACGTTTGTTCATAAAATTAAGTCAAAAGTAACAAAAAAAAAAAAAAATTTAGAGAATTAAATATAAATAAATACAGTTAGAAATTGTATAAATACATATTAATGTACAAAATACTGAATTTAAAATTTAAACAACAGAAAAAAACAATATTAATCACTACCAAAATGGCATGGCACAGTTCATGCAATGCGCGCTTGCTGATGTTATGGCAGCGCTACACCATGGCCTAAACGATTGCGCGAATGTTCATAGCACAGCAACGTTCATAACAAAATATCGAATGGTTCAGCAAATGTGATGTGAATGGTTCGCCCAATATGAGACTAATGTTGGATTTTTATATTTAGAGAGGTTATTGATTTACGATAATACGAAATAAATAATACGACAATACGAAAATTAAAAGTTTATTATAATTAAACTTCAAATTATTATTTATGAGTGAATACTTGTTCTGTCAGTGCTGTGACATTGAATTAATAACTATTATATATACTTCATTATCAGTTTTGTTTTTCTCTGTTGGCATTACAGACCATGTAGATCTTTTGCCGCCTTAACAAGCCTGCT